CTTTCATTCTATGCCGTCTCTTTATCATATTACTTGTTTTATCAGCGTTTTTTTATTTCTATTGTTATCACCCGCGTGCGTTTTTATCATTTCCATTGTTTTTCTTTTTTGCCTATTTTAGTATTGTTTTATTTGTTTATTATTGTCATTACTTCTGTTTCTCTCCTTTCATTAGTTATGTCTCTATCATATTATTATTGTTATTATCATCATTGCCATTATCATTATCATTATAGTCATCTTTATAATCATTATTTATTATTATTATTATTATTATTATTATTATTATTATTATTATCATTATTATCACTATTATCATTATTATTAGTAGTAGTAGTACTAGTAGTAGTAGTATTAATTGTTATTGTTATTACTATGATTATCATTATCATCGCTGTTATTATCATTTCTATTATCATTAAGATTATTATTATCATTATTAGAAGTAGTAATACTATTCTTACAATAATTGTCATTATCACTATCATTAGTATCATTATTACTATCATTAGTATCATTATTACTATCATTAGTATCATTATTACTATCATTAGTATCATTATTACTATCATTAGTATCATTATTACTACTACTACTGTTATTTTCATTATTGTCATGGCCATTATCATTAATATTATTACTATTGCTATTAACATTATTATCATTATCATTATTCTTATTATTACTATCATTATTATCATTATCATTATTCTTATTATTACTATCATTATTATCATTATTATTATTATTATTATTATCATTATTATTATTATTATTATTTATCATTATTATTATTATCATCTTTATCATTATCACCATTATTATTATCGTCATTTCTATTATCATCATTATCAATACTTTTATCTCCCCACATTCTCGCCTGTTTACAAATGAGGACAACACGTAACACCCAAGGCCAGTTCTGGATCCCCGTCGGCCATTTTGTTAGTTTGAAAAAATGCAAAATTATAGGTTGTGTGTGTGTTTGTCTTTGCATGTGTGTACGTGTGTGTGTATGTGTATGTGTATGTGTGTGTATATGTGTGTGTATATGTGTGTGTATATGTGTGTGTATATGTGTGTGTATGTGTGTGTGTATGTGTGTGTGTGTGTGTGTGTGTGTGTGTGTGTGTGTGTGTGTGTGTGTGTGTGTGTGTGTGTGTGTGTGTGTGTGTGTGTGTCTGTGTGTGTGTGGATGTGGGTGTGGGTGTGCGTGCGTGCGTGCGTGCGTGTGTGTGTGTGTGGGTGTGTGTGTGTTTGTGTGTGCGTACGTGCGTGAGTATGTGCGTGCGTACGTGCGTGCGCGTGAATGAATGTGTGCATGCGTATGCGTGTGCATGCGTGTGTGCGTACGTGTATATGTATCTGTATTTGCGAGTAACCGTTTACACAAGTATGTACCAAACAGGAGTCTATACACATAAGATCATTTCCGCCTCCACAGTTCCGCATTGAAATTCCCGCGTTCAACTCGCTTCCTCCCTCTGCCGGCCGATCTCCTATCGCATAGGCCTGTCCGCCATCAGCTACTTTCACTTTTCCTTTCTTCCCTCGCTTTCTCCCTGCGGCCAATCACTTCTTACCCTCCGGTGTTCGAACCTGCAGCTTTGAGGATAGTCTGAGAGGGATATCGTGTAGGTGTTACGGTGTTTTCTCTCTGTGTCTTTGACCTTGTTTGCCTAGTTTTCTATATATATGTTGTTGTTTTTCAGTCTGCTCATGTCTGTATACTTTGCCTACGTTCTCTTTCTCTCTCTCTCTCTCTCTCTCTCTCTCTCTCTCTCTCTCTCTCTCTCTCTCTCTCTCTCTCTCTCTCTCTCTCTCCCTCTCCCTCTCCCTCTCCCTCTCCCTCTCCCTCTCCCTCTCCCTCTCCCTCTCTCTCTCTCTCTCTCTGTCCCTCCCTCCCTCTCTCTCTCTCTCTCTCGCACGCGCATATACACGACTATATATAGATATATGTCTATATAGATAATAGATAAACATACTTTATATCAAGTGCGTACTACCACTGTACAGAAAACCCATTTTTTTCCGCAAGCCATTTCCCTGTCGCATCCACCACCTGCCTTGGAATACATAAGCGGAAAAGCCATTTCTTCTCAGAAATAACCTATTTAACTCACTGGTTATTTGTTGCTATTTGAAAATCTGCTTTAGTAACACATCAACTTTGCACGGTGATTTCCTCGTCTGTTTAAATTTTCTTCAAGATTGATGTGGCCTTTTCGTCTTTAACGGAAACGAGTTTTTTTGCTTTTAATGTGGACCTTGGGTTTTCCTGTAACCACTGTTTGTTTCCTGTCCACTGCACTATTATATGAATGGTGAACGTGAATCAGCTCGTACTCATAATATACTCATCCGGTCCTCATGAAAGGATGATAGTAGTAGTCGTAATAATATCAATTGGAGTAAGAAAATTGCAAAAGGAGCAGAGGTAGCGGTGAAAGTAAAGGGAAAGTAAAGGGAAATAATAGTACTAGTAGCAGAACAGTTGTCG